GAGCTCTGTGGAAATCCAGATGTTGGTGTGAAGGGTAAAGATGAAAATCCGTTGTAAAAGACATAATTAAAACGATGATTTAGGTAAGATAAAAATAATATCAACAGCGACTGATCAAACCCTAAGCTTTCCAACTTCCTTACAAGAATATTATGATCAATTCGATCAAAAGCCTTTGAGAAGTCTGTATATATCACATCAATTTGACCTTTTTGATCGACTACATCTGAACATAATAATATGTCCGAAAATGCTTCATTTTTGAAACACATATATATTAAGCAAAGAAATTTATTTTGATGTCTCCTCTACCACCCCTAAAAGTTTGTCGGTATATTTACAGGACCCTTTAAATATTTAAATCTGTACAAAGTAGGTACTCATCAGATTCTTGTTTACAACTAAAAATAATAAAACATAGTTCAGAAGTTACAGGGAAACTATTACTGAAAAAATAAAAATAATAGTTATCTATATAGATTTATAGTTATTACAAAATAGACTATGGGCAGGTTGTACAAAAAATATTTTAAACTCATTTTAACTAACAAGAGTTTTATTTTTAACTAGTTATATTCAAAAACAAATGTCATTTTTAAAACAACCGATGAGTATACGACAAGGTTAACAGTTTATCATTTTAACTGACTATTGTACAACCCGCCATATGTACAATTAAAAATTAATTGTATTTCTATAAAATGCTTTTGATTCTGTTGATCAAAACCATTCGATAAAAAAATTAAAAAGTATGGGTATAAATGTGGTTTTTTATATCTATGCTATAAAGCATGCATTGGAGTAGCATATAGATTATCTAAGTATCTAAGTAACAGGTCAGGGAGATTCTCATCTTTCAGTACGTTTCCTATCGAAACTCCTATCTTCGTTTGACAGACAGCGATTTTAATGTAATGTCTCTCTTTATTCTGTATGTAATGTGTCGATTTCGCACAAAAGAATCGCTGTCCTGATCAGAAGAAATTAACCACATCAAAAGAAAAAAATTAGGTACCCTGTTACTTTTAATTTATATTAATGATTGTTGATGTCGCAATAATCAATATGACATTTACCTGTTTGTCTATGATGTCCTTATATATGTTTCTTGTAAGTTGTAAGGATTCAGATAACTTAGTAAGAGTTAATTGTCAATGAAACTCTGCAAAATGTTTATTAATGGTGTTGCAATCATTTGTTAAAAATCAACACAAATACCTAAAACAAAATATATGCTGACAAGCATTAACTATATGCAGTTTGTGGACAAACAATATAGGAAATTGGAAGAAATTCTATACAGTTAGTAGAGAAATTCAAATATTTAAGGGTAATTATTCGGAAACAGATGAAATTCACATACCATATGCAAATACTGTTATCAAAACAATTGCAGTTAAATTACATTTCCTATTTAGAATTTGATTATAATAATTGTTATATTATTACACTATTTTTTACTAAATTTGAATATTGTGTAATTAACAAACTAGCCAAATAAAGAAAATAAAAATAAAATAAAAACCGAGCACATACCTGGATCTACAATAATATATATATAATAATAAGTACATTTTATCTTTTAACTTATTAAAGTGATAAAGTCCATTAAAATGAAATGACACGTCCAACCATAAACGTCAAACTTTCAAAACAAACATACTTGTGTTTTGTTCCAAACAGAAAATACCATTTATAGAATAATTTATTTACTTGAAACCTTTCTCCGCACAACACCTCTCGCCACTCACCAAGAAACATGGTCAAATTTGGCTAAGCAATTTTACATTCGTCTGCATAGGGAGCGATGTCGCAATTTTTCACTTTAGTGTCTATTCTGTCTGTTCAGATGGCAGCATCTTATGGGCCCTACATTTTTAAATTATATCACAAGATTCCTGAAATAATTAGGCAAAAATAAAAGAATGTACTTTGCGTTTTAACTTTTAAATACTATAAAAAAATGGTGGAAAGTCCATAACTTTTAAGTATTTGTTAAATATCACTTATTAAAATATTATGCATTAAAAGTAAAACAAACTATAGACTTTCGACCATTCTTTAAAGTTTTTTGAACCCATTTTTGAAAACAGTTTTTGAAAATATTATCGTTTAGAGCTGTACTTTTTGTGATAAAAAAGTCGCCGTCACTTGTCATTGACAAAGCGTTTAACTTGGCCTTAAGGGCTACATAAGCTTTAGCCACAGTTTATATCTAAAGAATCAGTTCGCTCACTCTGCGTCGGCACTTTTGATCTCAATGTTCCAGTTTATACATTGCGCAACTCGGATTTGAATCCCTGGAGCATACAGATTCAAATCATAATAGCCCAAGAGCCCACTGTAAATTTATACCGCCATCTGATAATGAAATAAAATATACCCCAAAAGCTTTTAAAAACATTGTACTTTACCGAATGGCACCTGTGAAAATCCCAATCCTGAGTAAAGTGTTTAAAAAAATATTTTATATTAAAAAAAACCTGATGTGTCCAACACATGACTTTCCTATCTAGTTATTACATGCTTTTTCCGATTATTTTGTACAACCTATTGCAGCACCTCCATAAATGTTTAGAGGATAAAATAAATATATACATTTTCCACATACATCTACCTCGAAACATTTTTCTATAGATATTCATTGAAAATGAAAATACTGAAAAATTTAAATTTAGCACTTTTCCTACAATTTTTCCATTACGGTCCATTTTAGAAAAATAATATATAAACAAAAATTATAGAGATCGATATCGCAAACAACTTTTATTTCAACAATTTTCATAAAAATCAGAATTTTGCACATTTTGTCAAATTTCTCGAATACGGACCATTTCAGGAAATTTTGACAAAAAGCAAAAATTATAGATAATAATATTAGAAATAACTTTTATTTGAACAATTTTTTTCTCCAAACATAAATAACAGATATATTCCATAAAATATAAAAACGGCCCCCCATAAAGTACCCCCCCAAATGTTCCGACTTTGTCCAAAATCTAATCATTTCACTTGAGGCCAAAATAAAACTTAAGTTTAAAATTTAATCTTTTTTTCTTCATCGGTTTTTGAGTTTTCTTCAAATTTCGAAATTTACACATTTTCTCAAATATCTCGAATACGGTCCATTTTAGAGAAATTATGTAAAGGATAAAAATTATAGAAAATTATATTACAAACAACTTTTGTTTAAACAATTTTTATAAAAAAATATTTTTTTTTATTTTGTCAAATTTCTCGAATACGGACCATTTTAGGAAAATTTTGTATAGAACAAAAATTTTAGATAATAATATAACAAGTAACTTTTATTTGAAAAATTTTCTTCCACAAACGTAAATAACAGATATATTCCATAAAATATAAAAATGATCACCTATAAAGTACCCCCCCAGATGTTCCGACACTGCCCAAAATCTAATCAGCACATTGGACGCCAGAACAAAGCTTAAGTTTGAAATTTGGTGTTTTTATATGTATCGGTTCATGAGTTATGCGACACAAAGACACACACAGACACACACACAGACATCATCGCGAAAATCAAAACGGATTCAGGGGACCTTAAAACGTAAAAATCCATCGAAAACTCGAGGTCGAAAAAAATCATGATTCCTATACTTTCCTTAATATCTGTATACAGATAGGAAAGTAAAAATCACATAAGGCATGACAGCGCTAATTTTGTTTGCCCTTAAAGTTTTCCAGATAATAACATATTCAAATATATCTTGATATATATCGTTAACGGGAAACATTTTCAAAAACATCTACACACGATTAGTAGGTAAAAATCATTAAAAATATGAATTAATTTTTGTTGATTTAAGAATTTATTTGTATGCCTATTGTTGTAATTAATTTTTACAGGTTTGTCATAGAAACGACAAAAAAACTACTATGATTATGGTTTAAAAGAATTGTCTAACAAGAGTTTATAATTATTATTGACTATCTCTGCCAAAGTTAGGTAAAAATACTAATAATTCAGGTTTAAAAGCTAGGTTCACATACTTTGATTACTATACGAGGCAAGAGAGAGGTCCGACACGCCCAACATAGGGCGCAGCCATTTTGAACCCTGTGACACAGTTTACAGCTAACGAATCAGATCGCTCACTCTGCGTCGGCACTTTTGATCTCAATGTTCCAGTTTATATACTGCGCAACTCGGATAATACAATATATGACAACCGCCTATAATAAAACAGCAGTCTTCTGCGTATCCTGAATTTGTATCCCTGGAGTGGATATTATTTTGGAACTTTCAACTGGTCTGAGTGAGCTAACTGATTCTTTAGCAATAAACTGTGACTTCAAAAATAATATTCACTGACACTGACAGCAGCAAGCAAAATATTAGGTGCGTTTTAATCATCCGCTTCTGCTGCCGGAATTGTCAATTTAGTCGTTTTAACCTGTCAGATTAAAACAAGAAAACCGACGATTCCGAAGCAGAAGCGGATGATTAAAACGCACCTATTAAAAATATTGCGCCAAGATGTAGGCAACACGTAATAAGGGTTCAAAATGGCGGAGTTTTCTATCTCCTTTTAAAAGGCACTCAGAAAGCTGCGCAGTGCGACCATTCTCCGTATAGTAAAAGAAAATCAAAGTATGTGCTATATTCAAACAGCAGTCTTCTGCGCATCCTGAATTTGTATCCCTGGAGTGGATGCGATTTTGGAACATCCAATTGGTCCTAGTGAGCGAACTGATTCTTTTAAGCTATAAACTGTGCTTTAGCTTTCTTGTTTGCAATGACGTCAGTAAATACGTCAAAGTTAACGGAAAATACTGGATATCTCCTTTGACACTCTTGTGTGATTTCCTAGCAATATTAAATTGAATCTCAAAATCGAAGGAATTTCTTTTTTAATAGATACTCTTCAATGAACGTGCTTAAATTATCTATTTAGCATTCTTTATTTTATCAGCACTTACACTGATGATATCCTTAATATTGTATTTAAATCTATTGATAGTTATCTTATACTAAATATCTAAAGTACACCTATTGAAAAAAATCTATAAAAGTAATAATCAAAATTCATTTAGACAATAGAATCAGTTGGTAGCTAATTGAAGTGACCTACAGAAGTAAGGTAAATATTGAACTATTAAATATTATTTATAAAATTATTGTAAATTACACAAAATTGATAACTTTTTTTCGCAACTAACTTAGTCTTTAGGTATCAACTATATTAAAATTTTCGTACCAAAAATATCACACTAATTAGTATTATTGGATAGTTTTAAGTAGGAATCGTGTACATTTAGCATGGGTAATGTGTAATGTGATCTGAGCCACTGACTGGACTCCGAGATAAGTTCCAATAACACAAGAACATAAGAATCACTGAATGGTCTAATTAATAAGACTCGTTAACATAATTTTTAAAGTAAAGAAAATCTGTTTTAAATAAAGCACTTAGACTTAGATAATCAGCAAAATAGCAAATCTTATTGTACCTATATTATTAATTATTAATAAAACTGAAAAACGGACAAATATTGGAACACAAATTGTCTACGACTTTTAATTGAAAATCGTGCTGTTCATTTTAGGCCTCCCAACCTTTTTACTTTCGTGCCTGTATACAGATAAGGAAAGTGTAGGAATCATGAATTTATATTATATATACGGTGTGTCTACTTAAGTTGGAACCATATGGAAAAAAAAAATAATATTGATTTTAGGAAAAAAAGTTATTCTTGAAAATTTAAAATACAGTCATCAGATATCAAATTTTTCAAGCCGTATACGAGGTTTGAATTTTGCTCAAGAGTAAAGCACGTTTATTTCGAAAATTTTCATTAAGAAAATTGCTAAATACTGAACAAACATCAAGAAAAGGAAAGCGTATCATGTTTATAGTAGAGAAGAAAGAGACAAAATTATGGATTACCGTAATTAGGTGGATCAATGCAAAATCTAGAAAAAATCAGATTTTTCAGATAGATCGGTGTAATTGCACATTTGAATGTAATTTTCAATTTTAATTAACTTTTCTTCATGAAAATTTAATATTTTGATTGAACATTAATAATTATGCAGGTGATTTGCCATTTGGTGCATTTCTATTAGGTGTTGTTCTATATGTTTGAAGAAAAACTTTCCTCCTATATTTCGTTCCCCCTTCATCTTTTTAATTGCTCTTTTAAAAGTGTCAACAAATCTCTCCGCTAACCCATTTGATTAAGGGTGATAAACAGGAGTTGTGATATGTTCAACACCATTTTTTTGGCAAAATGTTAAAAAAAAAATTGCTGGTAAATTGTGTACCAATATCAGTTACCATTGTGTTGGGAAGTCCGAAAATTGTAAAGGTATTATCTAATTATTCTACGATTGCTGAAGATGTGATCGAGTTTAATTGAAAAACTTCAGGCCATTTTGAAAAGCATCAACCAAAATTAGATAACTAATACCTTCCACTGGTCCAGCAATATCAAGGTGAATACGATCCCATGGTTTATTAGAAATAGGTCATGATGATGGTTGGGTCTTCACTAGTGATTTTGAAGCTTGGAGGCAGCTGTTACAAAATCTTCAATGTGCTTATCCATTCTGGGCCAGTATGCATAACTTTTGTAAAGAGCTTTACTTTTGACTTATTGTAGTGACCCAGGTCATCATTGAATACATCTTTGAAGGTAGTTTTGATTTCTTTCAAAGACGTTGGTTGTAGCTGAGTGCCAATTTTATGATGTATTGAGTTTATTGGAACGTCCCAAATTCCCATTTTCTCAATCCAGTCAATACCAAGAAGATGTAGATGTTTAATGGACGAAACCAAGCATGTTCCCCTGACTGGCTCTGAGTTTTCAAAGGCAATTTGGCAATTATTTGTTCCTATAAGTTTAACTTCTTCACCTGAAGCATTTTTTGCAATCTGGTTGGTTTGTGAAATAGTAGGTTCACCTATCATTTTCCATGTTTCATCATCAATAATAGTGACATCAGAAGCAGAGTCAAATTGAAGTTTAATTTTAGAAGCATTAATGTAAACATCAATAAATTTCATACATGAACTGACATGATTGATAAACATGCTTTTTGTTTGAAATGCATTCCCATTTTTGAAATTATTTGCAAAAGATTGCGAAAATCTTTATGGCCAATTTTCCCACATAAATTGCATTTATGGGTTGAAAAGTTACAGTCCTTAGAAAAATGCATGGCATCACATTGCCAACAGGAAGTGCGCGGTTTTTTCGGATTATCTTCAAGATTTGAATTTTTGATTTTATTAAAAACAGCATGGACTTGTGATAAATTTTGTTCAACTAATGCCGTATATGCTTCTAGACTTAATATTTTGTGACATTCATCTACTAACTATTCCAATAATATATCATCTTTATCGTCCTTATCCATTTTAGATAAAAGTCGAGTGGTAATGTTGGAATACTGCGCCGAATTTAACCCAATAACAAACATTAAGCACTTAAACTGATTTTCAGATAATTTCTTTAATTGTTTATTTACGATAAGATTTTGAAATTTGAAAGCATTTATATCGAGTACTAAAAATTGAAATTTGTTGTCCAAAAATCTTCTTTAGAGTCGCTACCGTCTGATTTAAAGTATAATCTCGTGGATGTTTAGGTAAAATAAAATTTATATATTTCTCGTGAGCAGGAGTACTTAAATTTCTAAGCAGTAACCGAACTCTAGCTGCGTCGTCTAACTTAGCTCTGTTTATAAGGAATAAATCATCATACCTTCTGAACCACGAATCGAAAGTAACGTTATTATCCAAATCTGGCACAAACTCCGTTAGGTTTATAGCTAAAGATTCAGTAACTAACTCTGTTTTATTCGTAGTGGAGTTGGCCCCCGAAACATTACCAATTTTTTTTGTTAGTTGTTCTAAAATTCTATTTTGCTGCTGCAATAATATTGCAAGGGTGTCGGCGTCTATTATCTTCGTCGCTATTGTTAACTAGTGAATGAATGAACACTAATCACAGGAAATACTTTAATAATTAACAATGATTGACAATTCAGATAAACTAGAAAAATGTCTGATCTGACGTTCTTTATATATCAAATAATAACTAAATATCTACAGGACAAGCATGTAGCACAGAATAACCGTGATTGTTTGCAATTCAATTTTTGTAAACAAAATTAATCTAGTAGTTGTTTGTCATTGATAGAAAAGCATCACCAATAATTATTGGCGTAACGATTTATTACACTGTTTTACACCTTCACAAGCTTAAATGGCTTCTCTTTCTTTCTCAGTTATCCAGTAACTACATTTCTTCATTTGTGTCGGCTTCAGAAAATTTACTCATGAGAGTGAATTAGGGAAAGTCTTATTAATATTATCTTATAACAAATACTTCGAAAATAATTAAAAAAATAAATATTAAAAAAAATGATCACTGGTTTTCTCTTTACTTAATGTTGCAAAACATAAAAATAATTTATTTTATTTTTTAAAATTATTTTAATTTAATTTATTTATTTTAATTTATTTTAATTAATTTAATTTATTTTAATTTATTTTAATTTATTTTAATTTATTTTAATTTATTTTAATTTATTTTAATTTATTTTAATTTAATTTAATTTAATTTAATTTAATTTAATTTAATTTAATTTAATTTAATTTAATTTAATTTAATTTAATTTAATTTAATTTAATTTAATTTAATTTAATTTAATTTAATTTAATTTAATTTAATTTAATTTAATTTAATTTAATTTAATTTAATTTAATTTAATTTAATTTAATTTAATTTAATTTAATTTAATTTAATTTAATTTAATTTAATTTAATTTAATTTAATTTAATTTAATTTAATTTAATTTAATTTAATTTAATTTAATTTAATTTAATTTAATTTAATTTAATTTAATTTAATTTAATTTAATTTAATTTAATTTAATTTAATTTAATTTAATTTAATTTAATTTAATTTAATTTAATTTAATTTAATTTAATTTAATTTAATTTAATTTAATTTAATTTAATTTAATTTAATTTAATTTAATTTAATTTAATTTAATTTAATTTAATTTAATTTAATTTAATTTAATTTAATTTAATTTAATTTAATTTAATTTAATTTAATTTAATTTAATTTAATTTAATTAATTTAATTTAATTTAATTTAATTTAATTTAATTTAATTTAATTTAATTTAATTTAATTTAATTTAATTTAATTTAATTTAATTTAATTTAATTTAATTTAATTTAATTTAATTTAATTTAATTTAATTTAATTTAATTTAATTTAATTTAATTTAATTTAATTTAATTTAATTTAATTTAATTTAATTTAATTTAATTTAATTTAATTTAATTTAATTTAATTTAATTTAATTTAATTTAATTTAATTTAATTTAATTTAATTTAATTTAATTTAATTTAATTTAATTTAATTTAATTTAATTTAATTTAATTTAATTTAATTTAATTTAATTTAATTTAATTTAATTTAATTTAATTTAATTTAATTTAATTTAATTTAATTTAATTTAATTTAATTTAATTTAATTTAATTTAATTTAATTTAATTTAATTTAATTTAATTTAATTTAATTTAATTTAATTTAATTTAATTTAATTTAATTTAATTTAATTTAATTTAATTTAATTTAATTTAATTTAATTTAATTTAATTTAATTTAATTTAATTTAATTTAATTTAATTTAATTTAATTTAATTTAATTTAATTTAATTTAATTTAATTTAATTTAATTTAATTTAATTTAATTTAATTTAATTTAATTTAATTTAATTTAATTTAATTTAATTTAATTTAATTTAATTTAATTTAATTTAATTTAATTTAATTTAATTTAATTTAATTTAATTTAATTTAATTTAATTTAATTTAATTTAATTTAATTTAATTTAATTTAATTTAATTTAATTTAATTTAATTTAATTTAATTTAATTTAATTTAATTTAATTTAATTTAATTTAATTTAATTTAATTTAATTTAATTTAATTTAATTTAATTTAATTTAATTTAATTTAATTTAATTTAATTTAATTTAATTTAATTTAATTTAATTTAATTTAATTTAATTTAATTTAATTTAATTTAATTTAATTTAATTTAATTTAATTTA